TACCAACCAGTTTGTGTAGGTTCGTAGAGTCTTGTTAAAGCAAATCAGAGCGCAAACGGAACAATTTGCCCCCACGATAATAACCGAGAGAATACCAAGAGAAACAGAAACGTAAATCTTCTCGGGTGGCTCGGCCATGTTTGTTGCTTGGTTTAACCGCCTCCAGTCATTAGTTGAGAGTGGTCAAATTGGACCATTGATTTTTCCTTGTTCTCGATACATTTAGATGTGTTTCTTTATCCTAAAACGAGCGGATGCAATATACAGAATTCATGCTAATTCATAATAGATATGACATTTTTTTTGTTGGAGCTGTCTTATTAACTTGGGTGTAAATCATTTGGCTTTTGAGCGAGGTGGGAGAATGGGTGATTTGGTACAGGCACGAATGTTTGTTATCGTAAAAAAAACAAATTGACGTCAGTTTTTCATGCATCTGTCCTGTTATTGACAATGAATTTTGTCAAAACATTGTCAAAGTAGTCTACGGATCCGCTCGGCTGTCGCCTCGTAGCCACTTTGACAGTGATGAAATTCATGAGCAGTAACAGGACAGACGCATGGAAAGCTGACGTCAATTTGTTAAATTTATTACCGTTACTGACGTTCAGCTCGTGGGTGACTTGACAGGAAGTTTAAACCGTCCTCTAGCGAGCGTCGTTCTTCTCATGAGAACAACAACGGAGTTAGTAAGTCGTGAAATCCTGTGTCGAAGACCCAGAGTATTCCTACAAGTTAATGTCATACTCTGACGATGAATTGCTCTGGAGTTTTGCTATTGTCTGGTCTCTATGCTCGGTGTTTTTCTCTTTTCCTGCTTGGCTTCGTTTCTTCGACAAGCCTTCCATCTGAGAATTCGTTGACAGAAATTCCGAATGACGACTCTGAAATCCGGTTTTAGAAAAGCATGTATAAGTGGATTTACAAGGGAACTAGTCGTTAGTGTGAAAAGCGAAATAGTGAACAAAACACCAGGAAGAAGGTCAGGCCGATTGAAAACACTGTTAACGGTCGTCAAGTACAAGATCGGAAAACAAGAGAGTATGAATGCTGTTGAGACTGCAAAAGACTTGAGCCACGTAGGCGTCTGATGAGATACGTCGACGCTCTTTTGTCTGTTCTCTCACGTATTCGAAGTCTTTCTTCATTGTTAAGCTTCGTGGCACTTGTCTGAAAATCCGAACATAGTGAGAGTTTTTAAAGATATAAGGCGCTACAACGTACACCAAGCACACCATTTATTCAATGGGGATTGTTTAACTTGCACATAAGACCATTAGGAACTTAGGAAATTCACCGTGGTGGTCCACGTTCTGCGGAAAACGTAGAAACCGAACATTTCGCGTGTCGCTAGGTGTAATCCTTTTTGAGCCATTCCGCCACTCGGAACGGCTTTAGTCATCGTTCTCGGCTTCGTTGTTTACAGTCGATCTCCTGTTATTTCATTAGACCGGTGTAGAATGGACAAACTGAGGAAGAATAACTTCCTTCTTCACTGTCATCTACAACCGCAGTTCATATATGAATTATTTCATATAANAATAACTTCCTGTTCTTTTGATTTGGTTTTTGACTGCCGTAATATCGTATCGCAGTGAAGCTGCAGTCAGGAGAATGTTATCATGTTCCGCAGCTGAAAAATCGTGACCAAACTGGTATTTTTAAAAATAGACGAGTAACGAGAGAAGACATTAAGCAAATTTGAAAAACATTGTCCGGTTAAAACAGTTTAGAGTTACGAGCTTTCGATTGCCAGTCGGCAATCTTTGACAAATAACATTGCAAACTGGCAAACGAGCGCTCGTAATATTAAATGCAAATGAGATAACTGATGACGTCATATACTCAACCCAATATTATATCAAGTATATAAATAGATCGTTTTCACTGTCACGCAATAAAAAAATAAATCGAAAACCATACAGTGGATAAAGTCAAGAAATTGTGATCTTATAGGAAATAGCTAGAGAAGACACTTCTCTAAGTTTGAGGTTTGTACGTTTTCCCAGACTGCAGATATTGTCGAAATGTTTCGCAGAAATTTACAGAGCCCAGTACCTCTGTGGTGCACCAATATGGCGGCCGGAAAATAGTGTAAACATCTAGAAATTACTTTGGCCATCTAGGCGACTGATTATCTGTACTGAACAAACAAACATTTACATAAGCACTTTTCCTAATGCTCTAACTTCTAAAAAAGCTAAAAATAATTTCGACCAACGCGATTGTATCTTTCTGTCACGCACCACCATAACTCTGAAATTCAAAATACGCTGGTTTTCAAACGAAGGACACTATTGAGGTGTAAACTTGTAAACAGATATAAAATTTACCCCCTCTTAAGCCTGACGGGGATAAAAACTTTGGTGGCTCTTTAGTTTTCGATTTTAGAAAATGATGACGTCGCATGAAAACGATCTATAGAACTACCTTGGTGAATTTCCAGCACAGACCACTGAAACTTGGTAGGCTAATAGTTCTACAGGCAACACACCCACGGCAATAAAAAAATTATCTTCCCATGGGAACTCACTCTTTTGCAGTCCCCACCACTTGATTTCAATATTTTAGTGATTTTCAGCTCAAAAAACATTAAACAAGGCCATAAACTCGACCTAACATATTTATATGCTTGCTGGATCATGCGTATGAGGCACCATTATCAAATATCAAAATGGAATGCCAAAGGTGGCCAGAAAAGCCATTAATATTGGGGAGGTCTGGAACCCAGTATGTTGCCATGGTAACAGAACTGTCAAGCTCGTATTCTGGAGCATTTTAATTTAGTAGAATCTTACTGCAAAGAATCAAACATTTCTGATTCAAATTGACTGAGATATCTTTCTTCATTATACTTGATGAAAATTTGCTTGAGTGTATGACGTCATCACTTGTCTAATTTGCATATTTTAAAAACTTGAATATATTTGAAAGTAGTAAACAGCATTTTTCTTCTCAT